AAGACTGCTACGTACGAGGCTTGGGTCGTAGTAAACAAACCAGAGAACTACGTACCTGCATGGCAGGGTGAGTATAGCATAGGTTTCTTTTTTAGCGTGCTCAGAGTACAGTCGTGTTAATTTTAGAGAAATACAGTTTATACTAATATGCAGTGGGAAAATACAGATGAATTAGAACGAAATGTTAATTTGAAGCATGAAATAAAGCGTATAAATTTATATGTAACCTTAGTACATAATTACCTTACCTGGTATAAAATGGGCGCTACAAACTCGAGCATTTCGGATCGTGTTTTCCGTCCAGTTTTCACCAACCCTTTTGATGGCCTGCAGCCACAGACGCCTCCGATTTTGTTGAAATCGATGTGCTCCCTTCGGAATTCTGTAGAGTTTCAGTCCACTGCTTGAAGAGAAGCGTTTCTGGCATCCATACACGCAACAATCCGACATTTTTATGTGCTCAGAACTTCAAAACAAAGGGTTTAAAACGCTGTTTTAGTGTCGAGAGTGAATGAGGAAGCCTTCACTCTCGTTGCCAGGCTGCGTGCAACTTTTGATGACGTAGGTAGTAAAAGGGTCTATAGATGCAGAGCATAGCTCACCAAAGCAACGTTCAGAACCAACTTTTCCACCTTCAGAAGCAAGCTCGGTGGTGGTTTGGGGGGTTTATTTTGAAAGGTTTGTATGACTTGTGAAATTTTGGACATTTGCATCATTTTAGTCTAACAGCAAAACGCTTTGGTCTTGGCTGAATTCAAACCAGCTGTTAGCTTATCTGATCTAGCATAAACTCTCTTCATCTCAACTGAAGCCATTCAGGAAGCTATCATAACGTTTAAACAGAAACGGTGGCAAAAACCTTCGATATACCTAAATCTTTTCATACTCCTGTGTGGCCAACATCTTAGTGGAAAACCCTAGAAGGCCTGGTACTGGCCAGAGGATGGCACATGCACTTGCAATTTCAGCGACGCCGTGTGTAAGTAGGACACAAAGTGAGTGGAAGTAACTCCTCCGTAATGGCACAAGCAGCTGTATGAAGCTTAAAGTGCACTTGCAGCACATCTGCCACAGATGGCAGAGTAAAGATAGCTGAGCTAGCATCTCATCACCCTCCGTCGCACATGTGCCCTGTCTCCCCGCGGTCCTGTTTTTAACCCGTTCTTCTATGAATTTTACCGACGAAACTGAAACACGTTTTCTTGTCCACTAACGGGGAGTCTGCTGTTCCTCAGATGTCCCGCTGCGCTCTGTTGTCCTCTTCCCTTCAAGGTGAAATACATCCCTCAAGCTCAGAGAGGGGGTGGGGGAAGATAACTGTAGCATTGCCATGGAAACTAGCCTTTCCAACAAAGGTAGTGATATAAGAAGGTTAAAGATTAACCAACTTTATGTATTTATCGTCTTTACAGCTCTCTCTTTCTGTTTCACTGTCTTTTATTCTGGTGTGTCTCAGCTAACTTCCCTTTTTTATATGCAGCCTTGTCAATTGTTGTCTAAGTGATGTTGTATGGTCTAACAGAGGGTTCTGATAAAAGCTCACAAAGAGATTCCTGCAATCCCAGAACTTCCCTTTTTCCATTCTCCCCATGGCCCTCGAGCTGCCGTGCACCCCTCCCTTCTCCACCGAGTCACTCTCATTTACCTCATCAAACAAAGAGCCTGAGTCATGATTTTGTGCTGCTGATGTTGGCGCTTCTCTTGTCATGTTTCCCTTTTTCTCTCCCAAAGAAACGATGTAAACTAACCCCTTCCACCTTGCTTTAACTGTGATGTTCACTGTGACCCTGTCCACCCTGACTAAAGACGCACCTGTGCTGCACATCTCTAATGTGTTTAAGATCCTAACAGAAGGGTTTATTCCGTTTGGTTGACACTCGTACGTTATACTGGGGAGGGAAGGGGAAATTCACAATGGACTAAAGTCAGGTGGTAAAATATTCTGGCTCATTAAGTTTGGGAGGAACCTTGTTTTGTGTTTCTGTGTGAATTGAGAGGGAAGTCATGGGGCTGAGTGATTCCTGTGGGGAAAGAACTGTTTAATGTTCCCAGGCCCAAATTCACTGCAGAACTGTGCATTTCGCTCTGGTACGATGGAGCCACTAAGCCCGTGTAAACGTTTCTTCACCTTTAAAGGAATGGATTTATACCCATCCAGGTTTATGTGGATTACTACCAGGACAAATGACTACTGGAACAAAAGGTGATCAGAGACATCCACTGTTTGCCACAGCAAAATATGTGTCATCTCTGGAGATCAGTGGGAACATTTGCACCTGGTCCTGGTACACCGACACAGTCTCACACCCTAAGCCTCGAGAAATGACGCAGTGTGACCGAGCGTTTGTTTACGACGTGTAGGGAGCCCCTGTGCGTCGGAAGGTGGCGTGCTGTGCCAGAGCGTCGGTATCCCACGCCCGCGGTAAAACGGAGATTTCACCTCTGACCTTTAGAGATTTAATCTTGCCCTCACCCCATCCTAGCCTTAACCCAGTGTGTCAATCTAAATGTTCTGTTAAGCATGTTTGAGAGGATTGATGTGCAAGCTGGTTAAGGTTAGGATGGGGGTGAGAGGAAGGTTAAATAGCAAAAGGGTGAAGGTCACAATTTGGCCAAATGTCCGTTTTATGGCGGGCGTCGGATACTGGCGCTCTGGTACCGCACGTTGCCTCCTGACGCGCTGGGGCTGGCTACACGTCAGAAACAAACGCTTGGTCATCCCGTGTCATTTTTCGATGCTTAGGTTGTGAGAATGAGTTGCAATACGTTCTCACACATCCGGATAATCACACTGATTCTTCAACCACTATTTATGATGATGAGCCCACTTAGGCACAGAACACAGGCTTATCCAGTATTTCTTCCCTGTGTGGTATGTTTGGTGAACTCTGGTCCGCTCTGAAGCGTGTCAGCACCACTTCGATCATAAGTCGAGGCTTTTCAAATTGTCCAAGGGTCCTGGCTTTCGAATGTCACATGTAGCCAATCAGAATTCAGTTCAATTCAACGTTATTTATATAGCGCCCAATCACGACATGGGTCGTCTCAAGGCACTCTACAACGTAAACAATCCAATACAGGTCCGGCCACTAAGACAGTCAGTAAAAGGTGTCCTATATAAGGAACCCAGCAGGTCGCATCGAGTCACTGACTAGTGTCAGACTCTTTACAGCAATCCTCATACTAAGCAAGCATGCAGCGACAGTGGAGAGGAAAACTCCCTTTTAACAGGAAGAAACCTCCAGAGGATCCTGGCTCAGTATAAGCAGCCATCCTCCACGACTCACTGGGGATGGAGAAGACAGAGCAGACACACACACACACACACACACACACACACACACACACACACACACACACACACACACACACACACACACTAATGTGTCTATGGTTACATTGTGATAAACTTTATTGTCTTTATCCTAGTGAATCTATAATTAAAGGGGGAAACTAGCAGTAGCACACTAGAATGAGAGGTGACTGCATGCTCCTCCTCCACCATCTTTGTTTACTCTAAAGCCAGATTTGATCTTGCTAAATGTCCTGTCTGACTGAGGAATGTTCATATGTAGTTTTCTTCGTGACCAGAAAACACACACCGTAGGATCAAAACTGAGACATCTTTGATAATTGTATTGTCTTGTGTCTGGTCTGTCACGACACTTTAAAATCCTGCAGTGTGAATCAGGCTTAATACAGAGAGAGGGAGATTTCTGCTACACCGTTGTCTTCGTAAAAGAGGTCAGGCGTGTCAGGAAAAGTCTAATTTATCCAAAATTCAGCTTCAGAATTCAAACCCCAATGGTTAAAGAACGCTACCGAAAATAAAAGAGAGAACTTCACAGACGTCCATATTTGTTGTGTGGAATATATTTTCAAGGATTTCCTTTGTGTCTGCGTTCACATGGGTTAGTGGGAAGAGAGGGGGCAAACATGTTTTTGATAGGATAATCAAAGAAATAAACAAACTGAATCAAGACAGGTGACAAGTACGTGCCGGTCACAGGCAGAATGGGGTGGGTCATGCTGATGTTCATAAATGCTTCAACTAAATGAACCGTGGTACCGTAGTGGAGTAAGCCCAAAAGGACATCTACTGTCCACAACCCGTAACTATCGGTACAGAGAAGCAAGCCCAAGCCCATTTCTACCAGCTGCACCGTGCAGCTGTAATTACGGTGAGAAGAAGCAAACTGTGGGTGCAAACGATAAACAAAGACAAAGAAAACCAGATGCTGTACAGTCTTAGTGAATTTGGGCCTCAGTGCAGTTTTGGGAACTTTTCAAGTAAAAATCTGGCTGAATCCAGACGTCTTTAAGAAAACAGCCAGAAGAGTTAACTAAAGGAAGATTCTGTTTCTGATATCTGGGATGGAAATGGAGAGGGGAGGGGCCATTACATTGTGTTTTTAAACAGAAATAACTAAGAGAGAAGGTAAAGAAGGGGAATTGGGATGTTTACAACAATTCAAGAACAATCTTACACAGCTTTCTTTTGTAATTTTTTTTTTCATGCAAAAATCATGCGGCCAATTTGTTGATGTAAGTGACCTGAACCTCGTGGTTTGCTATCTTATTTAACCACTCACAGCAGAAACACCAGAGTGCTAGTGTAGGTAAGACCAGACAGTTAGGTAAGGACAGGCTTTGCAGTGAAAGAAATGTTACAGTTCTACTGTTCTGTGTAGTCTACTCTGATGTTGTGTTAGCGATACGACGTGTAGGTCTGCCCAGGACAGGGAGACAGGTCAGAGCAGGTAGGAACAGAGGCAGGACAGAGTATTTTGTTGTACTTTATACTTCATACTGCAGTTCAGACCTAGTACACTTACTGTTGCAAACTAGACATGTGTAACTGACTCATGATAGGCTCTAGAGCTGTTCTAATACTGGTGTTGCTGTTTCAGTTGAACTGTTCTTCTTCTGTTGATCTGAAGGTGAGCTTTCTCAGGTGGTCTCTAACACTGTTTCTCTTCGTTGTCTCTTTCTTGTCCTAGGAGGTGAATTAGTGTTGCCCATAATTACGGTGGACTCCCTAGATCCCCCATCTATCGCAACCCACTACCCAGTTCTCCCCCCACCCCCCACCACCTTCCATCCCTTCCTCACTCTGCTTGAAACCACCAAAGAAGCCGTCCCCTTACCTAATGGCCGCCCCCCCTGCCCCTTGGACCAAGAGGAGTGTGATGAGACAATTGAAGTGTCGGCCTTTGGCTCGGGGGAGATGACCGAGACGGATGATGAAGACTATTATAAAAACTCCCCCCTGGTCACTGACAGAACTGTACTCCCTCCTCCCCCAGCAGTCGAGGGCAATGTTCAGAACCCCCAAGATCGTCATTTCTCACAGTACCCCATCTCCCATCGACCACCCTTCTCCTCCACCCCCACTGCCAACCCCGACCCGCTCAACCCACGCATCAAGCCAGCTGCTGGCGGCAGCAGCAGTAGTAGCAACAATATCCCCGCAGGGAAAATGAACAACCGGGACCGTGTGCTGCTGCCGCCGGCCCCCCCTTCCTTAGATCCAGGCCATCACAGAAACCCAGGAATAACTTATCCACCAAATTTTCCACATGTTCCCACTCCAGATCCCACATCCCCAGAGAGAGGACTCCCGGGGGCTGTTGAAGTGCAGCAGTCCAGCAGCACCACAGGCATGGTGGTGGGCATCGTAGCTGCTGCCGCCCTGTGCATCCTAATCCTGCTCTACGCCATGTACAAGTACCGCAACCGAGACGAGGGGTCCTATCAGGTAGACCAGAGTCGCAACTACATCAGTAACTCAGCCACGCAGAGCAACGGGGCACTGGTGAAGGAAAAACAACCCAACACTGCCAAGACAGTCACCAAGAACAAGAAAAACAAAGACAAGGAGTACTACGTCTGAGGAAGCGCTGCCGTCACCTGCAGACAAGCAGCCCTTAGAAAAGGAAGGAGATGAGAGAGAGAGGGGGAAGGAGGGAGAGAGTGGCTAGTGAACCTAAAACTCAGTATTGTCTGGTAGTCATTTGTAATCCGACATAAGAGGCAACAGAAACAAATGCATTGGCTTCCACGTTAGATTCACTCCTTTATGTACTGCCTAAATCGATTAGAACATTGATAACTGGATGCTAGGCCTGTTTTAGGTGCAGGAATGGCTGCTGCGTGTCTGAGATCCCAACAACCTGGCAGAACAGGGAGGTAAAGCGGTCGTTTGTGAGTTAGCGTTAGCAAGTAACTGAGTAGTGCAGCTTAAAAAGGACAACAGTATTAGAATACAAATTATTTTCCAAATTAGCAGGAAGTTTATGTACGGCCACCGTACAAGTTCAGCTCATCACATCTGATCTCCCTCTTCTGCAAAAGTCTCTCTCTCTCCCTCTCATCTGCCGTCTCTCTCCTTGTCTACGGTGCTCAGCGACCGACGCAACGTGAACTCTGCCGTGTTTCAAGCATGTAGTATTCATTTATGAAAGAGATTCAAAAACTGTTTTTCTTTTTGTGGAGTTGAAACTAAAAAAGCTAAAAAAAAAACATATAAAATGACGATTGATGATAATTACGTTAAACGTAGCAACTATGTGAGATGCCACCGCTCCAACCTAACCGATGCTAACTTGTACGTTTAGCTGCCAAAAACTCGTTGAGGCCAGACCCCCTTGGTCGTCCTCTGTTCCAGCAGATGTGTGTCGTGTGTTCTGGGGTGCCGAGGCGCCCCAAAGTGGGCCAGCAGAGAAACTGTCACCTTACAGTTACTTATCGCTGAGTTACAGAAAAAAATACAACTCCAGCCAACCTGATGAACTCTGTTCTATATATCTATAAATATATGTATAGACATTGCAGGGACGTATGGACCTAAACGGTGAGTGAGTCTGTAAGTACGTCTGCTGACTGAATGAAGACGGACTTTAGGGTTTCTGACATCGGAACAGTTTCAGCACCCCGTCCCCCAGTCTGGACACCCCTCCTAACCTTCTCATGAACAGTACGGCTGATGAAGTACCATGCTGTAACACTCGGTCACTTCTTTATTTTATGTTTATTTTTGAAAAAAAAAGAAGACATTTTGTGGTAATTCTGAAGTCATTTTTGCTTGGGTTCCACTGTGGAGAGAGGTCTTGAAGCAGACGGTGTTTTTGCCCTTCAGTGGCCTCGCTGGACTGCCGGTAGCCCACAGGCAAGGCAGACTTTGTGGGAGGAGCTCACAAGTAACAGGGCAGTTTCCTGGAAGGTGTACAACTCAACTCTAGTATTCAAATTTTCTCAACCCTATTAAAAAGGTAAACTGAACCATGAAAGAAAATTCCTGAAACAAGTTTGTGAAATGTCTAAATATTTGACTCTCGTCCCATTACTAAGACAGATGTGTTTTCCCTTCTATCATTCCTGTTTGGAGAAAAAATGACAAAGATTCTGGGATACAGAAATTCCTATGTATTTTATTTTCTTGATAATTGAGCAAATGCCAATTCAGTTCTAAAGATTTGTCATCCCATGTTTATTTCATTTATAGTAGTTTTTTGTTCCGCGTCCATTCCTTGTACATCAGATATTACTTTCCATGATTTGTAGAGAAAGCCAGCTCTGCTCACCCTCGGGATTCATCTGTTTTATATCTGTTGCTGTCCGTGTGGTGAGAAATACGACGGCAAACATTTCCTTCCAAGGACTCCGTTGAGTTATTCCGCTGTAACATCTGTGTGGTTTCTCCTTTTCCATTCCAAGCGTACTCCTCCCAGTATCTTCCTGTTCTTTCTAAATGTTATTGTAAAGTGTTCCAGTGAGATGACTCTAAATATGTGTACATTAACAGAGGGAATACACTTGGTTATATACTTCTTACTCTTTGATTCATGTGGTCTGTTGATCGTCTGACATCTGAAGAAGATTTCAGCACATTTATAACGACCTGCGGACGTTATTATTATTTCATTTGCACTTATTAAGGCCTGTCAGGGCAACCCGGAAGAGAAAACACACACTAGGAAAAAGGGTTTGATTTTGTTTCCTAGATCTGAAATTAAGTTTAACATGTCAAACAAAAAGCACAAATTTCCAGAAAGAATAAAAGAAGAAAATAAATATTGTAAAATATTAAAGGAAGATTTGAGAGTTTGTCTGTAGATGCAGCTGCAGTGAAGACCTCACCTAAGCATTATTCAGCTTAGTCAGAACCCTTGGATTCAGGTTCCGGAGCAAAACAGGGCTCACTTTCCATTTTTGGTTCTTGTTTAAACACTGAAATGTTTTTTTTAAACCTTGCTGACGTTTCGTTCGCGGCTGCAAACATCATCAGAGCTGACGCTGATGGTGGCGTCACTTCCTACTCCGTTTATCCGCGGGCAGCAGAGGACGTTGTCGCCCTCTGCTGCCCGCTCTCGCCTCTCCGATGATGCAGTCCCATGCTCGATCCAACGAGTAAACTCCATCGTCTCTGTTCATGGTCCCACATCCACGTCTCCTTATCTCTATAGCTTCTTTTATCCATCTTTTGTATTTTTGTTGTTCGGTGTTTCTGATCCCTGTGTTGTCCCAGTCCATTACATGGTTTTCTCTTGTGCAGTGATCTGTTATGGCTGACTTCTTTATTGTGCTTTCTGCTTCTTGTTTTGCTGCTCTTGTGTCTCTTCGACTTGTTTCTCTCTCACACTCCTATGTTCTGTTGTATCACCTTCTTTGTGTTTAAAAAAGAACCAAAAATGGAATTTGAAGACAAACACAGAAAGAACGTACAAAATATGTTTGAAGGGCTCACTTTGTTCTGATCTTTCTTGAAATAATTATTCAACCTCTGCTCTAAACTTTGGAGGAGTTTAAGTATCTCGGGTCTTGTTCACGAGTGAGGGAAAACTGGAGCGTGAGATCGGCAGGTGGATTGGTGCTGCAGTGATGCGGGCGTTGTACCGATTTGCCGTGGTGAAGAAAGCACTGAGCCAGAAGACGAAGCTCTCGATTTGCCGGTCAATCTAAGTTCCTACCCTCACCTATGGTGATGAGATTTGGGTAGTGACCAAAAGAACGAGATCACGGCTACAAGCGGCCAAAATGAGTTTTGTCCGCAGGGTGGCTCTCCCCCTATCTCCCTTAGAGATAGGGGGAGAAGCTCGGTCATCCGGAAGGGGCTCGGAGATCGGCTGCTCCTCCACATTGAGAGAAGCCAGTTGAGGTGGATCAGGCGTCTAGGTTTTCCGAGCCCGTCTAACTGGCAGGAGACCTAAAGGAAGACCCAGGAAACGTTGAAGGGACTATGTCTCACAGCTGGCCGGGGAACACCTCGGGATTCCCCCAGAAGAGCTGGCCTAAGTGGCTGGGGAGAGGAAAGTCTCGGCCTCTCAATTTAGGCTGCTGCTCCCGCGACCCGACTCCAGATGTGCAGAAAAAAGTGGAAGGGTGGAACTTTAAACTTTAAACTGCTGCAAAACAAAACTACAATTGTTTTTCTCTTCTTTGGCCCTAAAACACAGTTGTATAATTATGTCTTCCTAACATAGAAGCTTAAACATATTAGAATTACCTATCATGGTATGTTAAGGTCAGGGTTCAAATCACAGGGGAGCTAAGAAGAAGAAGAAAATATCATTTCTATAGCGCCTCTCAAGATAAAAATCACGAGGCGCTTGAGGGGAGCCCGGCTCCTCTGAAAGGGTGACCTCTAGAAACCCACAACTTGCACACCCAGTTTCTACCTATATTACATTATTTATATGGACTCAGCATACCGGGCATTCTTTTGAGCAGAGATGACGGAGAGCGCTGATTTTGCGTCTTGCGCAGGGCCACAGTAACATTCTCTAAGTGGCGCTGCACAGCTCATCACCTGTGCTTCTGTGACTTCACCTCACTGGCGCGGTGCCACTCCAGCCTGTCAACCCGTTGTCCGCTGCTTTTGTGGTCTGATCTGCTTAGTTCAAAAGTAACTCATGAGGTGAAAAAGGAGGAAGCCAGGCAGCAGTTTTTCTGTAGAATTGAGAGAAGATGCAGGAAGATGAAAGGTGACAGGACAGGAAAATAGTCCAATAAAAACAAGAAAACAAAACAAGCTTGAACAGGAAAATGTAGGTAGATTTTTCCCAACACACCTTTTTACTTGTAATTTATAAGCATGTAATATTTAGTTATTTGATACAGTTCAGAGCACCTTCAAAGCTCAGCCCCACAGCCAGGGCCTTTCAAGGCGTTTTGGGAGAAGAGACAAAATAGGCACACCATCTCACTGGGCTTCCCCGGAAGCCTCTGTGTGGTTTGTACCCTGGGTAAGTTGCACTCTTGGGCTGTAGAGGAATATTTACCCCATTTGTTAAAGTAAAATGGTTGTAACTACTTACAGTTTTAGTTTAAACGCTAACAGGTAAATTGTCCCACAAATTTGAGGGAACATGCTAGCATAGCTTAGAGTCACCTGCTCTATTTCTTGGATCAATGCTATTTGTTTTGAGTGAATACCTACATGATGAAGTGGTCCTACCATGGCTGAAAACTGCTGATGAAGGAAGATGAAGCAGAAATCCACAGGGCAAGAGGAGTCACTGAATACTTCAGCAAGCATGAAAGCAATGTTAATCACATGATATGTGGTCAGTTATCAGAAATCTGAAAAATAGTGGAAAAGCTTTCTCCACCACATTATAACAAGAAAGCTGGGAAAAAAATCCTTCTTTTAAATGGAAAGATGGAAATTATTATCAAGATGTAATAATAAAGGTGGCCTAGCAGTAGTGTCCAACCCTGGTCCTTGAGGAACACAACTGATTTTAAAGGTGATGGACAGGCTTCAGCAGAGGTTGATGACCTGTTAAAAAGGTGTGCTGGAGCAGAGAAACAACTAAAACATGCTGGATAGTGGCCATCCAGGACCAGGGCATCTCTAGTCTAAAATCCTAAAAGCTTTAAAAGTTTGAACCACTAACGCACAGAGTCGTCTTCTGCACTAATTATGACTAAATATTTGTATGAATGATTCTTCCATCCAGAGGTTTATTTTTTCTTAAAATCTGTTCTCATGGGCAAGAATTTGACCCACGGTGTTCTAACCTATTCCTCAGCCGTGTTTCTGGAAAGCAAGCCGAAAGCTCCACAAGACTAAAACAGACTAAAACACAGTTTCTTTAGAATTTCTTCATGTTTAAAAACCATCGATAATTATAACCAAGTTCATAGCATTTGATTACAGAAACGTACGAAAAGCACACCATGATGCTGCCACCACCGTGCTTTGTGGAGGGGGTTGTGTGTTTTCAGATTCAATTCAAATTCAATTCAAAAATGCTTTATTAATCCCAGAGGGAAATTCAAGACGGATGTAAAACCACATGTTGTCTTCAGCCAAAAAGCTCTAATCTGGATTACTCCACATAAACATTCCCTGGAATGTTTTTTTCTGTACACAGATGTTACATCCAGAGTGTTCTTTGCTGGGATTCCACATGACTAAACAATACTAAAATTGCCTTAATTAAATCACGGTGAAGTATTTAACCTAAACACTGTATTCACTAGCTCCTCAGTCTAATACAGTGAAGTTGCTTTTTATAAGGTAAGTGCTCCAATGTTGTAGAGGTGATTTGTGTCCTTCAACTCTCCTGAATCTATTTAGGTTATCTTTATTTTTGGCTTAAATAACAGTTGGCTTTCATTTCCATTGTTGGCTCTTATTTAAACACAGATAAGGTTTCTCTTTACCTTGCTGATGTTTCGTTCGCGGCTGCAAACATCCTCAGAGCTGACGCTGATGGTGGCGCCACTTCCTACTCCGTTTATCCGCGGGCAGCATTGGACGTTGTCGCCCTCTGCTGCCCGCTCTCCCCTCCCCGATGATGCAGTCCCATGCACGATCCAACGAGTAAACTCCATCGTCTCTGTTCATGGTCCCACATCCACGTCTCCTTATCTCGATAGCTTCTTTTATCCATCTTTTGTATTTCTGTTGTTCGGTGTTTCTGATCCTTGTGTTGTCCCAGTCCATTATATGGTTTTCTCTTGAGCAGTGATCTGCTACGGCTGACTTCTTTATTGTGCTTTCTGCTTCTTGTTTTGCTGCTCTTGTGTGTCTTCAACTTGTTTCTTTCTCACACTCCTTTCTATGTTCTATTGTTCGTGTGTTGAGTTGATAACGGAGTAGGAAGTGACGCCAACATCAGCGTCAGCTCTGAGGAAGTTTGCAGCCGCGAACGAAACTGTCAGCAAGATAAAAAGAAACCTTTTCTGTGTTTTAAATAAGAACCAAAAATGGAATTAGAAATCAGACACAGCAAGAACGTACCAGAGAAGCTGGCTTTCATTCTTTGCAATCCATCTTGCCAAAGCCTGAAAAACGTACATGGGACCTCTTTCAACAATTAATTCTTTGAAATCGATGGTTATGTAGATTTATTTTTTGTGACCACCATCAGCTAATTTCTTCTACCTATGGTAGGTTGTTGGTTTAATACAGCTGTTCTGTCTTGGACTCCCTTTAGCATAAACACCTGTGTGATGAAGCAGAACTGTTATTGTTTGAGTTGCTTTAGCTGGTGAGGCTCACTGGACTTTTTTCTGAGTAGGTGCTTTACTTGATTTTGACTTAGAAAAACTTCAAACATACAAAAAAATGAACAAATGACTAAAGAGACAATCTTCTATCCTTCAGTTCAGATGGCTTAGCCATAGACCAAGAGAGCGCAATATTCTGATTACAATCACCTGGTTGATACATACCCTCCCACTCCTAAGCATTGCACACACCCAGCCCAACGGATACACCACCTAGGAAAACAAATGATCTCTTACAAAGCCTACCCCCGTGGTTGATCTCTTTGAGGTGGTTATTGTGTAGAGTACCTCACAAGAAGAAAATGTGCATCGCC